TTCCTCTTTATTCAAGGATCTGGAAGGTGTTTCAGTGGCCACAGCCTAAGGCACATTTAGCTCATCCACATTTGGCTATGGTTGGCTTGGTATTCACAGGTTCATCATATCCTTTATTTATCCCAACAAGGAAATAACAAATATAATGCACGGATTATTAACCCATTCTGGCACCCTATTACACATGCCATTGTTTCACGCACCTGATGTTTTTGCCGGCGCTTTCTTTCTTGTTCAATCTTCTGCTGCTTTTCCAGCTTCTCAGTGATGCGAGCCTCACGCAGGGATTGCCGCTTGCTACGTTTATATGCCTTGGCGTTCAGTGCTGTTTCCAGTGCAGTATCCCTTCTCATACAGACCACGACTTCTTGTCGCAGCTGTTGAACAAAATTTTAAAAGAAACAGTAGGTGCAAACTGAGACTGGAGTGGGGTCCAATGAAATGCCTCACTTACTGTATGTACATGTTAACTAATACATTTTATGTTGCCTCTATGTATGTTGTCAAATATCAGAATCCACCGTAAAATTTAAACATCTGTATCTCACATCACCAAGGAAATCAGTTGAATATACCTGACACATCTCTAAGAATAGATGCTACTGCTGCTTTTCTGTTATTCAAATAGTTTTACCTGTTCTTGATTTTAAGTGTACTGAATTGTGCTTGGACAATAGAGGCAAAAGAAAAACACAACACCCATCAAACAGTCCTTTTGAAAAGCAGAACAACAGCGGGTTCAAGCAAGATAAGAGAGAAATACGAAACAGATTCCCAAAAGCCCATGGGGAAGAGAGATTAACAAAAAACAGCAGAGTGTGTCGGAACAGAAATACACCTCAGTTCCTATTCAGTCCCTTAAACAGCGCCCAGACAGTTACGCAAAACCTGGCATTGTTTGGACTTAGAAAAACAAGATTCTTGTTTTTGCACTACCACTATGCTCTGGCTGAAAGAACATTTACATTTATATATTACATATGTTTTGTGCAATGTGGTTCTTTTTGCTCATTTGTTCTTCTGTTGTACACCGCTCAGAGTCACACTGTTTGAGTTGGGCAGCCTTATAAATCCAATAAAATAAATAAAAGAAAGCTATTAGAGAAACCAGCCAGCCAATGCCACTATAGAATAGAAAAGGACTAGACACATCGACTAGCTTGAGTTGCAAAGGGGCTTCTTTATCAAAATCTGCTTCACTTCTGACCTTGCCTCTTCGTTTTTCTAGAGTCAGGCTGCTGCAAAGACATACTGTTATCAAAATGTACCTGAAGCTTAATGGACAAAATGAAAGATTAAAGCAGAATTATTTATCCAGCATTGCTTTGCCCTATGTTTATAATGCCTGCTAACATACCAGGCATTCTGAGTGAGCCCAGGATTATTGGAGCAAAGACTCTTCATCATAATATTCCTGATTTCAGATGACCCCAATGCTACAACTGGACTGATGTAACTGAAATCTTCAGGTAGGGCCAAGACCAAATATAAACATCTACAAGGAATTAAAGAAATAAGGTGTCTTCTCCTGCTTTAAAAAACACAGAAGACTCTGGGCCAGCAAAGCCACTATGATTTTTTATGCCTGCCATTCCTTTCTTTATTCAGAATGCCTGTGAAATTACCCAGCCCATTCGGTAAGGATCATTTCCGAGCATTGAGATGAAACAGGATGGTCCACTGGCATGTGAACTTGGAGCTTCGCTGCAGCAGAAAGTACAGGATCACTTTGTTGCATGAGATGACCCATCTGTACAAGCCACTTGGCACTTATTTAAGTAGGCTCCATTAAAGGGAAGACATTTTAAGAATTGCTACAATAGTTTTATTTAAAGGAAGCTACTCAAGCATAAGCTTCATTCTCTTACGTCTGCATAGATATATGCAAACTCTGGCCATAAAATTTCAGCAGTGTATCACCTACCTGCCTCTGGAAATTCAGCAGTCGTAGGGCTTTAAGTTCAATGGTTGCTTTGGTTCGCAGGTCACCAGCCAGGGACCCAGGAAGATTTTCAAGTTCTTGGATTCTATGAGCAATGCGAGCCTGCAAGCTGCAGAGAAGAGTTTAAGACACTCAATGAGCTTAAGCATGTGGGATTGTATACATCAAGCAAAACATATCCAATACAGTACTGATCTGCTAAAATAAGCTTTTTTGCAAGTATTGATATTGTCTGAAATTAAGGCTTGTTTTAGGCTTCAAGAAACATTTAATGAATGAGAATAGGAAGGACTGATGGTCATTGTGCTTCTATTAAACTTGGATCGCACCTTTTTCCCCAATATGGTGCCTTAGGAATATTTGGAATTTTGATTCAAAGCATTTGAAGGACACTGCCTTGGGAAGGTCATGCTCAGTGCCTGACAGCCAAATGTGAGACAAGAGACTCCAGATCCGGATTTTTCCAACTGTGTTCTGAGGAACTTGGGGGTTCCTTGAAAACTTGATGGAGTTCCATGAGAGATCAAGGGTAAACCAAACAACAACAACTACACTTGA